TGGACTGGATCGGATTGGACCAAATCCAATTGAAATAAATTAGTGTTAAGATCATCATCATTGTTATCATTAAAGCCTTATCCCAATTATATGGGTTGCTTGCTTTTCTCCATTCTCTCTTGTTTAATGCTAATATTTCATTGTTAAATTATTAGTGTTTAAATATTTTTTTACTAATACTTATATCCTTTTTGGTGTATACAAAACCAAACTTTCAAAGACCATTTTGCAACCTTATGCTCATGTTGCTTTTATATTAAAAGTAGGGCTGTAATTGGATTTGATCCAAAAGGTTCAAAATATCGATACATCGGTAGAGGCGTATTGGGCAGTATCAGATTTTTTTTTTAACTTTTTTTTTATTTTTTTTCAAATCCAGTTCAGAGAGGTTTGTTTAAGGTCCGTCCACCCCCTGAGCCGGTTAAAACCCCGATACACCCTCTATAGGGGCGTATTAGGAAGCTCTCAATATGATATGTATCGACCGATACAGGCCGATACGTGTCGATTTTTTGAACCTTGGATCCAACTACATCCGTATCTGATCCCGTTATCAAATTTGTAAATCCAAAATCAATATGAAATTTGACAAATCAGACTCAAATCAAATTTAGATTTAATTCACATTGATGAGGGCGGATTTAGCCCTCCAATGACATTGTGACACGTGATATCTCGGAACATCTGGGTGACACCCGGAACCATTTAGGCAACAACTTGCCTTATCCAAGATGCTGGCGACCTGGCACAGGTGCCGAACTGGCGGCCTGGCATAGGCGCCGACCTAGAGACTTGCGAGACGTGCTTGTTGACAAATTCGGCATGCATATCTCAACACTCCCACGATCCTTGGAAGTTGGTCCACGTTCCGAACGATCTGGAGGGTGGTCAACGTGCATGGCAGTTGCCTCCGGGAATCTCATACCACTTAGACGACCTCTCGGAAATCTTGGATACGATGTGTGAAGCCCACGCCAAATAATGCCTATATAAAGGCACCAACACCGATGGCATGGAGGGGGGCAAGTAAGCATATTCTTGCTCTCATACTTCATGTTTTTTAGCTCGCAGTCTACTATGAGAGTATTGAGTTAATCATCAGAGCAACCTCGCCGGGTTAGCCACCCCGGGTCCTCTGGCATTAATTCCTTGCAAGTCTCTAAAGAACTACGAAAGTCAACAATCAAGAAAGCTCGGCCCTCTGGTCAGCTTGTCACCTAATAGGTAGCTCGACACTTTGGTCAGCAGTACCTAATAGGCAGCTTGGCCCTCTGGGCAGGTTTGGCACCTAACCTGCCCAGCTCGGCACCTAATCTGCCCCCAGCTTGGCCTGGTCAGCTCGGCATCCAGGTCCTCATCCAGCAAAAGTTCTCCACTTCGGCCTCTGAGTCATTGGCCACTTGGAAGTAGACCAAATGACGAGGTACTTAGCCAAAAAATTGATTCATCAATTGGTGTCATTTGTGGGAAACGCTACAAAAAACTAAGTTCTCATCCTCTGAAAGGCTAAGTTCTCTTCTTCCAGAAAGCTAAGTTCTCACCTTTTAGAAACTAAACCTCTCACTTTCTAGTTTCCAATTTTTATGAACTCAAAGACTATGCAGGAAGTTGATGGCCAACAGACTAAGCAGCTTTGCTGACTTTATTTCAACTCGGATAAAGCCTCATCAATCCTCTTTGCGAGGTAACCTCTACGAGATAAGCTCTTCGTGGCTTCCGCGGGAGTTGGCGGCCAACGGACTGCACGGACGCCCCTTCTGGTCGAGCCTTCCAAGGCTCCCGCGCGAGTTGGTGACCTAATGTCAGTAGTATTGTCCTCATAGGTCGAGCTCCCAGTAGCTTTTTGTAGGAGTGGGTGATCGGCGTCACTAACGAGGCTGATGCAGCGTAGCTGTAACTCTAAAGTGTCGAACTGATAAAAGACCTCGGCACCACATAAGACCCAGTCGCCTCTTTGGCATAGGAAAAATCAAGGGTAAGGAGAATGGACTGCGAGTCGCTCCCAAAGCCCAATGGCTAAAGTACTGAGCTAATAAAAGATCTCGGCCCCACATAAGACCTAGTCGCCTCTTCGGCATGGGCAAAATCAAGGGTAAGGAGAGTGGACTGCAAGTCGCTCCCAAAGCCCAAGGCTGCAAACACTTGGACTCTTCCGACCTAAGAAGCAAATTGGATCGATGCTTACGAGCTCATCGAATTAGTCATTCCAAGCAAAAAGGAGCAATCTACTCCCTTCGCCAAGTTACTTTCAGCTCGGGAGTGGGGGGCAAATGATGAGGGCGGATTTGGCCCTCCAATGACATTGTGACACATAATATCTCGAAACAACTAGGTGACACCCGAAACCACTTAGGCAACAACTTGCCTTAGCCAAGATGTTGGTGACCTGGCATAGGTGCCGAACTGGCGACCTGGCATAGGTGCCGAACTGGCGGCCTGGCACAGGCCCCAACCTGGCGACCTGGCACAAGTGTCGAACTGGCGACTTGGCACAGGCGCCGAACTGGCGGCCTAGCACAGGCGCTGACCTGGCGGCCTGCATATCCCAACACTCCCACGATCCTTGGAAGTTGGCCCACGTTCTGAACGATCTGGAGGGTGGTCAATGTGCATGGCGATTGCCTCCGGAAATCTCAGACCACTTAGATGACCTCTCGGAAATCTCGGATACGATGCATGAAACCCACGCCAAACAATGCCTATATAAAGGCACCAACCCCAATGGCATGGAGGGGGCAAGTAAGCATATTCTAGCTCTCATACTTCATGATTTTTAGCTCACAGTCTACTATGAGAGTATTGAATTAATCATCGGAGCGACCTCGCCAGGTTAGCCACCCTGGGTCCTCTGACATTGATTCCTTGCAGGTCTCTAAAGAACTACGAAGCTCAACAATCAAGGCAACTCGGCCCTCTGGTTAGCTCGGCACCTAACCTGCCCAACTCGGCCCAGTTAGTTCGGCACCTAACCTGCCCAACTCGGCCTAGTCAGTTCGACACCTAACTTGCCCAGCTCGGCCCAGTCAGTTCGACACCTAACCTGCCCAGCTCTCAGTCATTTCGACACCTAATCTACCCCCAGCTCGGCCTGGTCAGCTCGGCATCCAGGTCCTCATCTAGCAAAAGTTCTCCACTTTGACCTCTGAGTCATCGGCCACTTGGAAGCAGACCAAATGACGAGGTACTTAACCCAAAAATTGATTCGTCACACATTGTCTTTATTGTGCTTAAAATGATAATAATTTATGTATTTTTTTAAACAATTACTTTTAATTTATACATGCATAATAAATATATATAAAAGCCCAATTTGAAAAAGAGTACAAATTTGTAGAACACAAAACCTTATATCTTACATTATTTTGTATGTATGTATTTACACTATACATATTTGTATTTATACTCTTTCCGAACTGAACCAAAGCATCAAATATTAAATTAATTTCAATCGAATCATTCCAAGTAAAATTTGCATCCATTCTAATTATTAATGGGATGCAAATTGTAACATCTAAATTCGAGATAATGTAAGTTACCGGACTTTAGAGTCATTGGCAGCCCTACTTGAAAACTTCGAATAAAAAATTGATATGTTTACATGTAAATAATTGAAATTAAGTTTTATAATTAATAAAAATAATAATAGAAAAATATGGTTAGGCTGTTAGCCAAGCATGTCCTTAAGAATTGCGACCCTGTAGGCTGTAGCTAACAGTTTGGGTTCTGATTAAACGCCGAGGCCCATTTTCTCACAGCAAGTTGCACGTAGAATTAGGCAGGCGTACCCGAAGTCCCAAACCCAATATAAGTCAAGCCCAGAGACGAACCCCCGTAGGCCGTAGCAAGCAATTAATTAACCATTTTAATGACTTCGTTTAAATCTAATCCAATTTCTCATTTCTCAACTCCCGAGATATCGATGACAAGACGTCACACTAGACCACCTCAAACCCTAATCAACCCTCTCACAACCCTAATCGTGAACCGTGCCCTTAATCTCCAACCCTCCTTCTCATCTCATGTGTGGGTGGCTGGGTGCATTTTTTTCTCTACTCCCAAAACACACCCACCATTTCCTCCTCGGTAACCCAAACCACTTAGTTCACTTCACTTAATTTACCAAATTCACAGTTAAAAAGCTTCAATTTATCCTTTTTACCCCTCCACCCAAAACCGTCCTCTATGCTCACGCCCCCCCCCCCAAACCCTAAAAAACCCTAATTGTTTATTAATTCAGAAACCACGTTTCATTAGGCATAGTTTATGGATATTAATACAAAGAAAAGACATCGAAGTGGTTGCTTACTCCAACACTTTTTACTTTCACAATCCCCTAAGCTGCCTCACTCCCATATCATCCAATCACCTGTTCCCTAGGCACCTTGCCAGGCCACCTCCCCCTGGAATCTTAAAATAACTCGGATATTATCTGACACACTGCCGGAAATCTGACACCCCCTATGACATGAGTCATTCCCGGAGTCTGATACACCAACCCAATTACCATATTTGCCCTTCTATTAGACCCAATAGTTATCTACATTTGATCTTCTGGGGTTAGCTTCTAAAGGTTAGCTGTGTCATTCGAGATGGAGGTAATCCAGTTGAAGCCAGTCTGACACAGAAGTAGGCCTCGCCTCATTGCCTCAAACTCGAAGACTCATTTGTATATGTAGTAAAGTCATCTTGATCAAGGATTCTGGTCCACTGGGACCCATCTGGGAGTGAGAGATCTTACTGGCCAAGATAGATCTAACCAAACAATCCCAGCCATTAAATGTGGATAACAGCATGTTGGGTCCTGTAGGACTCTAGGATCACTCGTTTGATAGGACCGATGTTTCGGCCCGGATTGGAAAATGGCCATGGTCCATCGTCCATGAGCAATGGCTGAGAAAAGGTTAGGGTTTGGACACGTCCGTGTATTATAGAGTCAAAGACAGACACACTACCGTCCGTCCTCAGTCCTGACTGAAGTAATTGCGGATAAAAATATTATAGTATTCATATACGGTTTAAGCATAAAATGGCGACGACAGTGGCAGAGAGAGCTTAGAACTCAAAACTCGTACCTCCACCTCCGCCCTCCAAGGCTCCAACTATCGGCACCAACGCCAACGCCAGAGCCACCGGCACCTCCTGCCAATATGCCAATGAAAACCCAGAAGCTCCACTGTGTGGTGAACAGAAAATCTGTCTTCACCCCCATCAGCTGACGGCAAGAAAGAGTAATCTTGGGTGTAAGTTCAGCTCCACCTCCACCTCCACCACTGCTTCCACCCACCACCACTACCACCAACCATTCCCCCTGGAAAAGGCTCTTCAGGTAAGAAAGTTCAACTATCTTGACCATAACCTCCTTTATTTTCTCTCTCTTCACCACCACCTTTTACACACATGCATGTTTTTCAATACTTGGTGTGAACGTTAAGCATCCTCGCCACCACTACCAGAATCACTCCCACTCCCACATGCATGTTGTCCCTTAGAGTGGACTTCGACTACCACCACCACCACCACCATCACCACCGCCGCCGTTACCTCCAGCACCACCACCACCGCCGCCGCTACCTACTACCAAAATCACATTAACCATATTTATTAACCTTCACCATCAGACTATTGTAACCTCAAATGGAGAAAAGAATCCATGTCATCATCTTCTCTCTCTGTTTCTTTTTTTTCTTAACCTTCTCTCCTGTACTAGTTTCCTCTCTCTCCCCTGATGGACAAGCTCTTCTTTCCCTTCTCGCCAATGCTGATGCATCTTCAACGGAATCTTCATCCATCCTCGCTTCATGGAACCCTTCACACCCAACACCCTGCTCATGGCAGGGAATAACATGCTCTCCGGAAGACAGGGTTATTTCGCTCTCTCTCCCGAACACATTCCTCAACCTCTCTGCGCTCCCTTCTCAGCTTTCTTCACTGTCGTCTCTCCAACTTCTCAATCTATCATCTACCAATGTATCGGGCCCAATTCCCCCCTCCTTCGGCCTCCTTACCCAACTTCGCCTCCTAGACCTTTCGTCTAATTCTCTTTCGGGTCCCATCCCACCGCAGCTTGGCACGCTCACTTCACTCCAGTTTCTGTTCTTGAATTCTAATCGTCTCTCAGGGAGCATTCCTCCGCAGCTTGCAAACCTCTCCTCCCTGCAAGTCCTCTGTCTCCAAGATAATCTCCTTAATGGTTCTATACCGTCCCAATTGGGCTCATTGGTCTCCCTCCAACAGTTTCGTGTTGGTGGAAACCCATATCTAACCGGTGAGATACCACCCCAGTTGGGACTACTGACTAATCTAACCACTTTCGGTGCTGCGGCAACTGGGCTCTCTGGTGTAATACCTTCCACGTTCGGGGACTTGATCAATCTCCAGACATTGGCGCTTTACGATACTGAGATATCTGGTTCGATTCCACCTGAATTGGGTTTGTGTTCTGAGCTGACGAATTTGTATTTGCACATGAACAAGCTCACCGGCTCAATCCCGCCTCAACTTGGTAAGTTGCAAAAGCTTACAAGCTTGCTTATATGGGGCAATGCGATTACAGGATCAATCCCTGCGGAGCTCTCCAACTGTTCATCGATGGTTGTCTTTGACGTCTCTGCTAATGATATCACTGGTGAAATCCCGGCTGATTTAGGGAAGCTAGTGGTTCTAGAGCAGCTTCATCTGTCTGATAATTTACTCACCGGTTCTATTCCATGGCAGTTGAGTAACTGTACGAGTTTAACTACCCTTCAGCTTGATAAGAACCAGTTATCAGGGCCAATTCCATGGCAGGTTGGTAATTTGAAATTTCTGCAGTCCTTCTTATTGTGGGGTAATTCGGTTTCTGGAACCATACCTTCTTCTTTTGGAAATTGCACGGAGCTTAATGCTCTTGATCTTTCAAGAAACAAGCTAACAGGGTCGATTCCAGAAGAGATTTTTGGTCTGAAGAAGTTAAGCAAGCTTCTGCTTATGGGAAACTCGTTGTCTGGTGGGTTGCCTCGGAGCGTTTCCAAGTGTCAGTCTCTGGTGAGGTTGAGGCTAGGAGAGAACCAGCTTTCGGGGAAGATTCCTAAGGAGATAGGTCAATTGCAGAATCTCCTCTTCTTTGACCTGTATACAAACCATTTCTCTGGTAACCTGCCTCCCGAGATTGCCAACATCACAGTTCTTGAGCTCTTAGATGTGCATAACAACCATCTAACAGGAGAAATCCCATCTCAGCTTGGGGAGCTTGTAAATTTAGAGCAGCTTGATCTCAGCCAAAACAGCTTTGCAGGTGGAATTCCCTGGAGTTTTGGGAACTTCAGTTACTTGAACAAGCTTATTCTCAATAATAATCTGCTGACAGGGTCGATCCCCAAATCCTTCAGGAATCTTCAGAAACTTACTCTACTAGATTTAAATTTCAACAGCCTCTCTGGTGCAATTCCGCCTGAAATAGGTAATATGACAAGTTTGACGATCAGTCTGGACTTGAGCTCAAATGGGTTTACAGGAGAAATCCCCAAGGAATTCTCGGGTTTGACACAGTTACAGTCACTTGATCTTTCCAATAATATGCTTTATGGAGGAATTCAAATACTGGGCCTCTTGACCAGTCTTACTTCCTTGAATATCTCTTTCAACAATTTCTCAGGTCCCATCCCTGTGACACCATTCTTCAGGACTCTATCTTCAAATTCTTATCTCCACAACCCAAACCTATGTGAATCCCTTGATGGGTCTACTTGTTCCTCAACTCTATTCCAGAGAAGTGGGCTAAAATCTGCGAAAACTGTAGCCTTAGTCTCTATTATTCTGGCTTCTATAACAATGGCAGTTCTTGTATCTTGGATCATTGTAACCAGAAATAGAAATTATTTGGCCAAAAATTCTTCAGGTTCACCAGGGTCTTCATCACAAGTTGAAGACTTTTCATATCCATGGACGTTCATCCCATTTCAGAAGCTCAATTTCACAATTGATAACATTTTGGACTGTCTGAAAGATGAGAATATAATTGGGAAAGGATGTTCAGGGATTGTCTATAAGGCTGAAATGCCTAATGGGGAATTGATTGCGGTGAAGAAGCTATGGAAAACAAACAAGGATGAAGAACCTGTGGATTCTTTTGCTTCAGAGATTCAGATTCTTGGGCATATACGTCATCGGAATATTGTTAGACTTCTGGGTTACTGCTCAAATAAGTCCACGAAGCTACTCCTTTACAATTATATTTCAAATGGGAATCTGCAACAGCTATTACAGGGAACTAGGAACTTGGATTGGGAAACCAGGTACAAGATTGCTGTAGGTTCTGCTCAGGGTCTTGCTTATCTTCACCATGATTGCGTGCCAGCAATCCTTCACAGGGATGTAAAGTGTAACAACATACTTCTAGATTCCAAATTTGAGGCTTACCTGGCTGATTTTGGGCTGGCCAAGCTGATGAACTCTCCAAATTATCACCAAGCAATTTCTAAAGTTGCTGGCTCCTATGGGTATATTGCACCAGGTATTTTCCTGATCCTCCATTTCCTTTACATATACTTCTTTATTTTATATATTCTATATGATGCAAAGTTTTGTGTTTCCTTCAAATTTTGAATTATTTCCACTTGGTTTCATAGACCAGTACATTTTATAGCCATGAAAGTAGATGACACTCAAGGAGCTGATACTCGCTTTCAGATGTGAGGTCATGTCCCAATAATCAATTCAATTGGATGGCCATCATGATCCAGCATGTGGACCTGTTAGGATCAGTCTCATGCCATTTCTCTTCCTCTCATATCAATTCTATAGAGTTATTTTAAATTCATCCATTTCTTATTTCATTATATACCATTTTCTGTGCTTAAAATCACTTTCCCCATTAACCACATTCAACATTTGAATCAAATCACCTATATATATTTCTTTATGCATTGTTCTTTCCAACTGTCTTAATATTGTGTTGAAGCTTGCTTATCGAAAAAAAAAATGTTGTGTTGAAACTTTCTTTGAATGTTCAAATTTTCTAATTCAGAGATTTCTATGATTTTGGCAGAATATGGATACACTATGAACATAACAGAGAAGAGTGATGTCTACAGTTACGGGGTAGTTTTGCTGGAGATCCTTAGTGGTCGTAGTGCCATTGAGCACCAGGTTGCAGATGGGCTTCACATAGTTGAGTGGGTGAGGAAGAAGATGGGCAGCTTTGAGCCTGCTGTATCTGTATTGGATGCTAAGCTCCGGGGCTTACCTGATCAGATGGTGCAAGAGATGCTCCAAACACTTGGAATCGCAATGTTCTGTGTGAATTCATCACCCTCAGAGAGACCAACCATGAAGGAAGTGGTGGCGCTGCTAATGGAGGTCAAGAGCCAACCTGAAGAATGGGGGAAGACTTCTCAACCTCTCATAAAGCAGCCATCGAACCAGAGCTGAAAGATTAATTTTTGTTTGTTCTAGTCCAAGTATTCTCTCAATTATGATTTTCTATTCCTTCCCAAGATAAAAAGGTAGAGTTAATATGGGCGGGAAGCAAGCGGAGGAAGCATTTGATAATGCTATTTGTTTGGATCATGATGGCGGTCTCTTGTTCATTGTACAGTTCAAAACAAAAATTTGCTTCACCTTTTTTTAATATTCTTCTTTCGCTTCATATTTCTTGGAGTTTATGCTTCTTTCATGGCTTGTCCAATGTTATTCGAGTAAGGAGGCGCTGAGAGTTCAAGGCTCAACACTTTCATTTCCAAAGTTTGAGAGACCAGAGAGAATCGAATCATATATATGTGAAAGCCATTACCCAAGTGGGACATAGGGCCAATTATGTGAGTCCAATCTTTTTTTTTATTGGTAGAAATAGGAAGAGCTAAAAGAGCTTGATTGGTTTTTCTGAAAACGTGGTTGTAAGTGACTTCACATTTTAAATCTCTACCCAGCTTTAAATACTCTTTGATGGTCTTCAATCTCCATTTGCAATCCACTTTGTTCTTTAAGCACAATATTAGAAGGGAGTCTCCCTCAATGAAAATGGGGAGAATTTTATAGTTAAGAGCTATGTTATGGCCTTATGGGCCTCTCACACAGTCAAGCCTCCGCTACATTAATTGAAAAATTCCGGTCTCTAAAATATTTCCCATTGATTTCTTACAATGCAGCCTATTGCACATTCATCCTTATCATAAGCCCCCTTTTCAGCCTATTGCAATATTCTCTACATTGTGATTAGCATATAAAAGAAACAAAACTCTATATGTTGATTCATCACGTCATTTTCTGATCTTCATACACAGGGGACCCAGATGTCCCATGACTCAAAATGTGGGGCCAGAACCCATCTAACCCCCCCCCCCCCCCATCCACCCACTTGGCCATGTACGAGTAAAACTACCTGACACCAATCAGATATCTGAACTCACACATGCTGAACAATTGTCGAATGGGAACGTAAAAGCAAAAGAGAGAGCCATTTACCAACATCTGCCTGCATTGTACTTGTAGACCATTTATGTAGCTTAAGAGGAGACAGAAGTACAAGAAACCACGTCCCCAAGTCTCAACTTTTTTCTGCACATGCATGGTCAAACCGTAGCTTAATTCTCTCAAATTCTTCACTTGCCCATACTTCTTTTTCTGGTTTTCAGTAGTCGGTAATGGTACAAATTCAATAATTCGTTGCTTAAGTCCATGGATTGTGTACAAACCCGAAAGGAGAAAAGAGGGTATGAATTCTCAGTGAAGTATGGGTCTGAGGGGGGACACATCCTTGATTCCTCATGTCCTGTCTGTTGGACACTGATCCCTCACGTCTTTGTCTGTTAGACAAGGAATCTCAATCTACTTTTTATACAGTAGTTGCGCCTCATGATCTCCCAAGCTAAGGAAATGAAATCAATCCTGCAAGCAGACGACGCAAGTTCGTAAATGCTTAACTATAACCGATGGTGCACAATTCGGCCGGTCTTAGCTGTCAACGACCTTGCCTCTGAACGAAATGGCGGGGAATCTGAAACGGAGAAGATGAAAAAGCTCTGAGGGGAACCCGGTGTGGAGGCTCCGAAGCTCAAGTTAGAATCCTTCAAAGGCAAGATAAAACCAGATAGCGCAAAGTTTGCATACTTTGTTCTTGGGGGTAGGGGGCCTTTTATAGTCACCTCGTGCACTCACTCCTAAGCTTCTGTCAGGTCGGGTACGGTTACCTCTGGTCTCCTACCAGTTCGGGTGTCATCCCCGCTGCTGGTCAGAACCGCCACTGCTTCCTTTTGTCGGAGCCATCTCTACGACTGGCGATGACAGTGGCAGG